GTAACTGTACATACCATCACAAGATGAATTATCATTCATTAGTTTGTATCCAGTATTACATTGACAGTAATAGCTTCCATTAGTGTTAAAACAGAGTTGTTGACAGCCACTGGTACCCATTGAACATTCATCATTATCTGTATGTACATGTATGGGAAAGGAATGCTGAGTAACAATACTACAAAAACAACAGTAATTAGATTGTGGGTAGGTGGGCATACTACAAAGGAGTCACATAACATGTTTACCATTAGTCTTAAAAATCTAATTCTAAAAGGACTGCCTTTTGGTTATTACAATTGATTGACAAAGAATACAAATCATGGCTTCTCAGCAATTCTTCATTACAAAGTACAACTTATATTCTTACCAGTACAGTTTCCATATCCATTATCTTTATATCCAGCTCTACAAGAACAGGTGTATGATCCAACTGTATTACTGCAAGTTTGTGTACAATTGTGATCAACAGTCTCACATTCATTAATATCTGATTGCACAAAAATACTCAAGTTAAAACAAATTTTTTTAATTTCATACCTTCACAGGTTGAGTTGTCATTTCTCAACTGATATCCAATGTTACACTCACAAGTATATGATCCTTGAGTATTTATGCATGTTTGATTACAGACACCAAGACTGCATTCATTTATATCTATCAAAATGGTAGACAGACAACAGTAGCACTTATAGTCCTTGGCTCCTCAACAGTGGGGGCAAGGCCAAAAAATAAGCGTACATGTACATGAGTGAGTAAACTTGGGTAGGGATGTCAAAATTAAGTGGCGAGTACATATTATCACAATAATCATAACAATTTCTGACGTTAATTTATATTAAGCATAAAACACACCAAATTGTGACAAAAACTAAGGAAATTGATTGGTTAGAGGTTTTCTTATCACCTAATCTAGGTCTTTGATGCAAAATTTTGTTAATGTTTCCAAGACTGGCTTAAGGTCACTCTTGCCAATAAGGTCTATGCTTTTAAAAAGTGTAGGTTACAATATTTTGTGTTAACAATATGTTTTGTCAATACAAAAATGAATAAGAATATGCCCTCTTGATGATTAATATATTGATTATTGTTAAAATAATACGTACCATAGGGCACCTTATTGGGGGGGGGGGCTATAAACTTTGCAGATTTTGCAATTTTCTTTAAGATTCACGAAAATTACTTCTGTGAAAATCAAATTAATATGGTACAAAATGGCAGACGGCATAAATTTGCAGAAATTGAATCCACAAAATAAAAATCCACAAAACCTATAGCCCTCAAAAAAAGGTACCCTAAGATATTATACATCCACTAAACTTGAGCTTACCTGTTCTACACCTGTCTCCAGTCCAGCCAGGATTACATACACAACTGTTAGTTGGTACACAATATCCATTACCACATACTGGACTACATAATACTAAAGACATGAGATACTGTTATACATTAGATGTATGTAATTGATCCATACCTTCATCACACTGATCTCCAGCCCAACCATCAAAGCATTGACACAAGTTATTGCCAACACAGGTACCATTACCACAAGAAAAATTACATACAGGAATCACATCTAATTAACATACAAAGTTGGGTATAAAAAGCAATTATTTTACTTTGTTCCAATGAAACTACTGCTGGCCACCCGAAAACTCTTTCACGGCAAAAAATACCATTGGAATTGAACTGATAATTTTCCATTGCTGCTAGTATGAACTACTGAATGATTACTATATACATTGATTACTATTTCAGTTCCATACGCTACAATATTGCTAGAAGAATCATATATTGCTGTCCAGTTTACTATTGCTAGTCCATTATGTAGAATAGCTGTAGGAGAGAATCCTTCAACTGATGCTGTAATAACAAGCTTTGAATAAAAAGAATAATGTCCATAATGATCCACGTTAAACTCTCGAAGATATTGTTCCATTGGTGGTATTAGTACCATAGTAGTAGCAGAGTATAGATTGGCTTGAGGGAACAGGACGACAAATATTGGATTATCAGCTTCCACATAGCAATATCCAGTTATGTTGTACTGATAAGTACCAATTGCTCCATTAGTAGAGTATCTTGTAGTGTTAGTGGCTCCATCACAATGTATTGTTATACTAGTGTTGGCTTGTGAAGTGACTGTCTTCACATAAGAAGAGTATATTGAGCTGTCAAAACGAAAATTAATGAAGTTTGTTAGAATGAATCTTATACCCCAAGTTATTGTTGGAGGAACTTGCAGCTGCATACCATTACAAGAAGGGAGTTCCATCATATCAGGAGTACTGCCACACTGGTGACCAGTAGTAACGGTCAGTGGTTTATTAGAAATAAAGTGTGTTCCTGATATATCACTTCCATTCCCTTTACCCAGCAATAGAGTCTGTCCCTCATGTAGTGTAATAGTATGAGAGTTACCTTTAGTTACTAATATATCATCGCTGCCATTCTTCTGTACATCAATAGGAATGAAGAGATCAACTGTTGGTATAATACTAATGACAGTATTATTAATACAACCAACAAGAAGAACTTGACTAAGAGTATCATTGTAATAACTACTAGTAGAAACAGCATAATATTCATACTGACTGACTCCTGGGTACTCATGATATGGTAAAATGAGATGTTCAGAATAGAAATTCAAATCTGCCAAGCTTATTGGCCAATCACTTGTAACATGAATTCCTTTGAATCGATCTGTAAAAGAACGAGAAAGTATTCGAGAAATGCTATCAACATCTACAAATGATGGTCTATTTTTTGTTACTGTTCCATTAGTGGTGTAACTGAGTGATTTAACATCAAAATAATATGTCACATTGAAGGGAGACAAAGTTGAAATTGTGACCCTTTCATAAAAATCACTTAATAATCCAAAGTAAAAACTAGTAGCAGAACTATTATAACTCTCTCCTATAATAATAAAAGTAGATCTATCCCCTTAACTAGAATGCACTTACCATGACATAGATCCAACTGCAGGCATAAAAGTACAAATAAAAAGGAGATATTCATCTTTTCATTCACAATTAAAAAATATCACAGCCTCCCAATCAGGCAGTTTAAGTTAGACAGGCTTTATACTGAGCTTTATAGCTGCATGGTATATCTGTGACCATAGTCACCACACCTCTACCTATATGTGACACACCCTAGATGTATCTAATGTCTAATTTGGAGAAACTTAGCAATGATTTGGCTTTCAACTTTTGTTGTGCATGTACTTCTCTGTTTTTCTGTTAACTTTTCATAAAATGAAAAATACATAACTAAGCAAAATTATAAAATCAATAGCATTAATATAACATAGCTAATTAAGTAGAAGTGGATGGGTGCATGTCAGGACGTTTAAATTCAAAATGTTTTAATGCTCCATGTTTAATTGGTGAATGTTCAATGAACTGATTGACAAATCCTTCCCATTGCAAAGAAAGATAAACCACCAGGTCTACATCAGAGGGAAACCACGCAAGTTGATCAATTAATTCAATTATAGTTATTTCAGTGAAGCTGTTATGATGGAGGAAGATTTCATTAAGGGACAAAGTCTTTTTTAGAGCTAGCAGCGGTATCAAACCAGCTAAGTGGCGACCACCTTTATCATCAATGATATTATCCCCAAGATCAAGAATCTGTACAGCTTGACTATCCCTGCATATAACTGCATCAAATATAATGCAAGCAGTGTTGGAATCAATAGCACAATTTTTCAGTCTTAGCTCTCTAAAAGATCGAGGCAGTGATTGCATCAAATTTCCAGCAACTACTTCTCTCATGATGTGACTTTCATACATCTCAATACACTCAAGTATCTTGCATTGATGCAATGTTGCCAAGACTGCTCCAACAGATGCCAATGATAACTCATAAAATTCAACTTTGCATATACTTTGAGATTCTGTTAGGACAGTAACACATTCTGCAGGACTGAGGTTAGAGAAGGAAACTTTTTTTAAGTTTTTTAGTCTGCAGAGGTTATCAATTAGTGGCTGCTGCTCACCTTCTTTAAACCCATTGTCATGAAATAAAAATGTTACCAGGTTGGAAAAATGTTCAATTTTTGGAATGCAATGAGGCAAACATTCCTTATTAATTGACGTGGCTCTTAAATTCAACTCCAATATAGTTCCTAAAATGAATGGAGGTAAGCTAACAACACTGGAAACACCATCATTGCCAAGTTGATTAAGAGACAAACCAATATGCTTAACACGGGGGTGGTCACTTAGCTCCATCACTCCTTTTACTGATTTGAAACCTAGCACCAACATCTTCATGTGTTTATTTGTTAGTGCTCTTAATGTGAAGCCAAATCTCCAAGTAGTAAATGACAAAGCCATGCATCTTCCTAATACATAGAAATCATGCTCTGTCATAATTGTTGATACACGTGCTATTGTAATTTGTTCTTGCTGGTTTAATACCTGAGAAACGAGCAAATTGTTCTTAACTTCCATGAGCTGGTGAAAAATATTCAGGGACGACATTTTCTTATTAAGAATAAGACTTTGTCCTTCGAGCTTGGTTAGTCCAACCAAAAAACGCATTGTGACAGACATCTTGTAACTGTTATTGTACTTATTGAGATGACTTTGAATTTCTTCAGAGGTTAAGCCATATATAAAATATGCTGCAAGAAACTCTTGAATTGTTGAATGGAGGAAGCTGTAAGCAAACATGTCCCCTCCTTCATTTGGTAAAACTTTCACTTCTCTTCTCATCAATCCAAGGGTTTTGTACTTTTCCCGTTCATAAAACACTAATTGCTGTTGGCCTCTTTTACCAGCAACAGTACCTTCATAGGCTAGTTTACAAAGGTTATCAAATGCATCTTGAATAGCAGGATCAGGTATCTCACTCAAATTTGGAATTTGAGTTAGCATGCCAGCTGGTGCTTCACTTTCTATTTCTCTGTATATCAACATCTTTATTAGCACCTCGTACAACTCTGTCATCGTTTTTGGCAATTCAGAAAATTTGGGATTTGTAATTACGTCCAAAAGTATAGCTAAATTTAGAGGAATATAAAGGCACCCAGAAATCACTGGATACTTATCAATGTATTGCTTAAATGATTCTTGTTGCTTGTGATTATTTTTGAAAAAAGTTGTCACATAGCGGTTTCGACTGTCTTCATTGAAGCCTTGAATTTCAATATGTTTTTTGAATCGAATCTTTTTTGACAGTTCATGAGTGGTTGATGTACGGGTTGTAACAATGATTGTAGCATCAGACATGTCACGCATTATCACTTTAAGGACATCAACATTTGAAGGCTTATCTTCTGGTAGCTCATCGAAACCTTCCAGAATTATCAACAAACCTTCACCATCATCATCAAATATTTTTTGTACTACTTCAGATTTCCAGGACTGCATATTGAGATATATTCCAATCAACTCTTGAATTTTATCTGGTGACCAGTTACGCTGAACACTATCATCACGAAGAGGTAAAAGTAAGATCAATGAGTATTCTTGTAAGGCACTGCCATCTGTCCATCGTTTGCACATTTCATAGGCTAAAGTTGATTTTCCAATTCCAGGAATACCCTCTATCAGGACAGAAGAGCCACATGCCACATTGAAAAGGTCAGCTAAAAGTGAAGTCTCTTTCTTTGATTCATTTTCAAGAGACACGGCAACCAAATCTACATATTCAAAAATATCTCGAGCTTTAGCTGGGGACCACTTTGGATTGGCAGGCAAACCTTGATAATACTTTTTCAATTTAAGAGCATATTTTTTGATTAAACTACATGTATCTACTGCACCATCGTGAGCTATGATGATATTTTGAGTATCTGTATAATTACATAGTATTAATATAATAATCTTAAAAATTATTTTACCTGGCACACAAGCAATTGCCAATGGCCCATGATCTTTGTTCTTCATTTTACGATTCATTGCACAAAGTAAAGTGCATTTAACCCCAGATTCTAGAGCTAACAAAAATCATTTGACAATAAATTAAGCATGGCAATTAATATTTATACCTATATCTTTAATTCCACAAGCAATATCTGTAACCTGTTCAATTTGAGTGAGTATAAACAAGACTCTCTGTAAAGCACGTTCAGGATTCCTTGCCCTGTTAATGAATGTCCAAACATCATTTACAAGAATCTTGCATCCGATGACTGAGCCTGAGTTACGTAGTGGTTTCTCCCTCTCTATAGGATGAGTAAGTAAATCTGAAGTGACTAATTCGACAAATTGATGAAAAAGAGCCTGATCGCTTGATAAAATAGTAACGAGAGCATCACAAAAGAAATCAAAAGCTTGTGAAAAGACATTGTTATGCTGAAGAACTCCTCTAAATTGACTATTAGATCTTGAAGTGAATTTATAAGAGATATCCCTTCCCCCTACTGATTGTAATTATAGTATAAAATAGATTAATTCTAAGAGCCAGCTTACATGAGCTACATCTTTGAGGCTTTTCTGTGATAAAACTTTGAGATTCTAAAAAATCAAAATTAGTCAATGAGGTGGGTGTAAATATGGCATTTATCATACAGAGGGCTGTTAATGCTAGGCTCAAGGTGCGCATACTGTGAATACTAACACAAAGTAGGCTTACTTAGGCCCCATTTACAGATTTACTACATATTTACTTGAAACAAAAACATTTTTGGTTATATATAGGTAGACACAAGAAAGC